GCAACTTGACCTATCCGGTCAATAATACGTCACGTGAGCATTCAAAAACATGATATCGTATCTGCTGTTTACATATGACTGAAATCATTCGCTTACGGGGAAACTAAGTTGAATTTTACTTGCATTTTATAACAATTCAATGAATTTATTTTTCGTGCGTTATTGTAATCACTACTAAATAATAATCACCAATATCAACACTTCGAAAACAAGTAAGTTATTCACTTGTGACCCGCAGCATGACTGGATCGAGCTACCGTTCTGTGATCATTTGCTACTAAGCAGTGCATTCGTGTTTTTATTTGAAACTTCTATTAGAATATACTTTTCGTTACCAAGAAAATTAAAAAAATAAATGCATATTACATTAAAAATACTGAGTATTTTTTGTATCATGTGGACATTTTTTTTGATTGACTGTAATTTTTCAACATTTCGTAACGCCTATTTTATAACCAAAATAAGGCCTTTCACTCTTCCCCAACGCCTATTCAAAAGATTGTACGGTGTATTGTTTGTTTTGTGCATGTGTTGTGGACAAAAAATGACCACGCCCATTTAGTGATTGCAATATGTACGTAATAGAAACCGCACCCCGAACTTGAGCTTTTGATCCCAATTTTTAAATTGATACATTGTAATATAAACCGCGGTTTATAATAGGACTTTAATGGTAGTAGCGCATACACTTAGGCGAATGACATGTACATGCATGTCTAAACAATAAAAGCAAAAGAAAGCAAATATGGTAATAGGTTAAGTTTAAAAGAAGAAATCACTGTAAGACAGTGCAATTTTTAATACATTAGCATATGAGAAACAATTTTGATAGTTGAAAATCTAGATAAGATGAATGGATGGATACAAACTAACAATGCACATGTTTCTTTGCATGGCAAGCAAGTTTAAAAGTCCTGAAACAATGCAATAATATATCTAAACATACTGGCTAAAGCAATATCTGAAACTCGTTTGTACAGTGTGCATGTTCCAAAATGATAATTTTGGAAAAGAAAATCATCTAGCATTCCAAAGGTTAATAGCATTTAAAAAATAGAGATAAGATTTCATGATTGAGTCATCAACAATTTGATGTACATGTATGATTTGAAGGTCAAGTCAAGGCTCCTTCCTATACAGGAGTAGAGAGTCAAACACACAAAAGTGTGGATTAAAATCAATCTCACCTTTTTGGGAGATCACCGAAGGGATCTTTTTTCTTGGGTTTCTTCGGAACATCGTCTTCTTCATCTTCCTTTGGTGCCTTTTCCTTTGGTGCTTTTTTTTCAGGTTTTTTTTTCTCTTCCTTTTTCTTATCTTTCTTACCAGCACCGCCATGCAACTCTTGGAATTTCTTAGCTAGGGATCACAAGAAATGAAAGCTATTAGAATTGATACAAATGCCATGGCAACCATTAATGACAACATCAAAAGTATTGAAAAGAATATGCAAACTGTTCTTTTTTGCCCGAGTACCAACCAAATTTACAATAAAAACAATCTGGTAAAGACGCATAAAAATAAATAAAACGTGGATGCCATTTGACAATTTTGAATAAAATCACGAAACAAACTGACATGCATCAGTAACCCATCAATGTGTGATGTTCTTTTGTTAAGCTTGGACGAATAGACCAGGCATGCCCGAGAAAGATAAAATAAATAAAATAATGTGCACCAAAGTACCTTTATGTTCATCGCATATGCTAAATTTGAACAGAATCCATCCATTCACAACCAAGATTGGGTTCCGAAATGGTGAAAATGTGTGATTTTGAAAGATTTTGGTCTTAAAATGGCTGCCAATCAGCCATTATGAATCAAATTCATTACCTAGTATAATGTCTGATGTATGTGTAGTTTAAGCTTGATTGGTCAATGATTGAGTGAGATATGGCTGGACAATAATGCACAAGTCAATGTTTTCGGACTGTCAGAAAGCGGAATAATTATTCCACAATATTAGAAAAGTGCCTTGTTGCTATAGTTACTGCAACAGGCTGTGATGACTGAAAACTAAGATGACATATACTGCAGGGTCTTCTATGTACGGATGTGGTTTTCTGATTGGTGTAAAAATCTACGATAAAAGTGCACTTTTGACAATTGCACCCCCCAGATTGCACCCCCTCTTGCTTTGAACATAAAGATTTCACCCAACTTACTGTCAAATTGTGCCATCTTTTCACATAGTGAGACATCACCTAAAACAGATTTAAATTCTGTTTGATTGATGAGAGTTGTAAACCACCTATTGACATTACTGTATGGCTTACGGAAGGCTGGCTCCAAAACCTATGGGACAATAAAAAGACACTGTCAAGTTTGTACTAAAAAAAAACACAAAGAATTCTTATAACAGTCCCCAGGTCAATGCAAACCCCATTACACCCATCCAGGTCACATTACCATTAACAGCCATGTTCCGTGTAAAATAAACCGACATTTTGCACTAAATGTGACAATATGCATCATCAGTCTGTGTGCCTGAATGGTTCACTAGAGTGTACTGACGTGCACAGATGTCAAAAGCATGAATTAGCATAATATTATGAGCAAAGTTCTACAAAGAAATCACTATTTCTCTGTATTGATTCTCGGAACTGATCATGTTATAAGATTACCACCTGATATCACTTATTAGTAGAGCTGGTTGGCTCATGGAGTAGTGAGCTGTATTATTCACTCGCCTATGATTCGTTAATAATAGCCCATGAACCTCACACTTATCAACCAGCTCTGCAGACTAGTGATATCAGACAATAACGTCATATTATAACCATTTTGCGATGCGACCCAATGCGATACACGACTAATATCTTACTTGTTTGTACAGCATCAGTAAAGTAGATGCCACACTGATATCAGCGAAGAGTGACGCGTTCTCCAACCAAGTATGTCCTCGTCTTCAGGTGATTATTCAGTATATTTAAAGCTTTCTTGATCTCCTCCTTTGCACGTTCAGTATTCTAAAATACACAAATAATATGCTAATACAGCAAGAACTAATCCATGATTACATACTGTAAAATGACTCATTTTCACTGGGTTTTAATTTTGCTGATTTACCATTTCAGGCATAATCAGTGGGTTTTAAATTCAGTTTTATCATTTAGATAATGTGTTCTATGCTGAATTTTACATACTGGGTTTTAATTCAGCACATTTTCCAGTCCGTGAAATAAGCAAAATTAAAACCCAGTGAATAATTAACCCCTTTACAGTTCTACTGTGGCTTATTTGGTGTATTCACACCATTTAGCAGCCTTGATTACTTGCTAGTGCCAATTAATTTGACATGCAGTAATAAAGTTATATTGCCTCTCTTTACTGAAAAACTTTTAAATTCCATGTCCTACAATTCCCCAACATGTACACGATTGAACAACTTTCATTGATAAATGAATGTTGTGTAATCTATCATGTATGTGGAACTTGTTCTATTGCCTGCTGTCTGCAGCAGCAAGGGTGTACCATACATCTTAAAGACTTTTCTAACCTGCTTGTTGTATTGCATTATTCCTAATGTAGGGAATACCCATGTTGCTGAAGCAGGTAAAATTTCATTGTCTGCAAATCCAATCCACTGAAGAACCTGTACAGCATCGTTTCTGTTGCAACCATGGAGTGTATCATTACTTACTGGAAAAAAAAAATTATTATTGTTTAAATATTATACATGTCAAATCAAATGTATCACTGTCTAATAACCGACCGTAAACATCCATTTCTTGTATATGCAATTAGATTTTACAATGAACATAATACAGATTATTAATTTCTCCATTTTTAATTTGCCCATTAATACTCAAGACATTCGCATCAGCCTCCGCTGCACGTTGGTCGATACTCCTGCTGTACTGTTTCGTGCATACTTTTCAGCATCCTCATAATAACCTTATTATTATACATCTTTTCCTCCCAAGGATACATCATGGGGATGCCAAAATACAAAAAGTTTAGAACAGATTGAGCAAACTTCTTTGTATGGGGTGCGGTCGAACCCTGGTAGCTGCCGTCTTTGTTTTTACGCATGTTATCGTTCCATATTTGGAATTCACATTTCCTAATATGGTAGGATGAAAATACACCGCAAAATTACAGAACGCTGTAGCTTATGGCGTTATGGTGACAGATGTATAATAAAATAATATTCTCACCGCTGTAGGCGATGGCATTGCTTTCAAAAATGCATGTTCCATCCGCAGCTTCAAATGCAGGAACCTGTAAAATACAGAGATTACGAGTAATTTTTTGTGTGAATGACCTATGTAAAACAAGTCGGATTTAACCAGCACCGAGTTTATCTGAAAGATCGTCCTGGGTGATGTTTTGGATATTTTGGGAGATCAACGGAACTAATGTTTTGTTTCTCAAGATTGTTTGTACAACCAAACTGTTTTCACTACTGCGGTTATTTTTTACGATATTCGTTTTTGCAGCACCAAAAGATCGTCCAGATGCTGAAACTGTGTTTACGGGTGATCTTTTGTGGTGGATGATGTTTAAGATAAATATTCCACAGTATTGAAGTTTATAAGTAATAACACTGGTCTGCAGTATCTTAATTAGTATCTATGAACAAAACTCGTCTATGAATGTACACTACAGTGAAATCTGAAGAGTGATTATTGAAACAACCATAGAAGAGCAGAAATTAGGTTAATTTAAGCAAATTAGATAATTAATATACAGTTGTACATGTGGCAATTTTATATCATTGTATCATTTATGGGGTAGTAGAAATTCTGTGTATACTAAGTTCTGATGAACCCGTATTTCAAAGCAACCGTACCGAATTTCACAACACACTGTATAGTTACATCAGAAACAACGTTCACCAGTGTATAACTATAAACGTGGCGGACAAAAAACAGCTGTTTTTGACGGATAACTCTGTCTGTTATGGTGCTTTTAATATGAATCAAATAACACACAAATGCGACAAACTTGCCTTTCCAACGGGAAACTTGCTCAAAAAGGCATCTGTTTTATTTGTCTCACCCAACTTAAATTCTGGGGGTTCAGATACAACTTTGAGACTGACACCACTGTAGGCAGCAGCGATCTGGATCTTCTGCGCCCGGAAATAATCGGGATACGTGTATAAAGTCTATTTAAATAAATAAATAAAAATAACTACAGTTAGAGGATATTTAGACGTATAGATCGACAATAATAACTAATAATTTGGTTGTGCGATGACATTGATTACGAACGATAACTGTGAAGTCATGCCGGTTGACACTCACCCCTGCCGCCATTGCTGAATCGAAAAGGAAGTTCTACATCGACAATAAAAGAATTATGGGAGTTTGTAAATATAGGTATTTGGTCGTCAGAGGGCGATCGACGACAAACTCATATAACCAATCATTGTCTATTGTTGTGACGTACGGAGTGACAAAAACATGAAAAAGAAATTGTACTTGAAAATGAAATCCGTTTTTAATGATGCAAATCACCACATCAGCAAAACTGAAAAAAAAAACATTGTTGAAAAACTAAAACAAAACGCATTTTCAGAACATTGGAAAAATGAAATACAGTTTAGAGGTTTACTTGACAAATATTGAACTCCAGACATTGCTTTTAGTGAGTTTCGTCTGAGTAACCATTCACTGAGAATTAATACAGGACGCCATATTTAGTTGCCAGCAAAAGAAAGGGTATATCTCCTCTGTAATCATAACCACAAATTTGATTTCTTTTCAGCAATAAATCCGAGTTAATTCCGTGACGCCAATATTTATGAACCTGTTTTGAATCTAGACAGCAACACCTGTTAGATATTGATATATGTCACTTAATATCCTTCCAAATTATTAGATTTTCTGCCGTTTTATTTTTTAATTTGTTTAATATTTTTCTCCGCGTGTGTGTTTTGCTTTGTCATGTCACTTCTCGTTTTGTTGTCTTCTTTATCATGCATTGTTTTCATAATCATCCATTTTAATGGGCGTTAAGTGATTAAATAGATAAACAAAGGATTTTACGACATCCGGTGTACAGCGTAATCTTTTACCGTTATAAACAAACGACTAAAGCTAGCACGCAGACTTGGTGTTTTTCAATGAAATAACATTGTAGTCAGTTTATAGACGCATCTTCGCCAGTCAAGGACCATTTATTCGG